CAGGAGGCCCACGTCTGGCCATGGAATGATGTCAGGGGCCCATCCTGCCTGGTATCTCCTCATTGAAGTGTGGCTGGGGAGGGGTTGCACTTGTCCTACCTGATCTAAGCCCACCAAGCAGAGCTTGGTGCTGTGGCTGCCCCATGCCCTTGTGAGGAGGACAGAGAGGATATAATTTGCCTCAGGCCACAAAGCCAGCCAGTACCTGATAAAGCCCTTCACCTGGCTTCTCCTCCAGAAGGTGAGAATTGAACTTATGGTGAAGGGGCGAGGGTGTCCAGAGTGTGGAAGCATCAAAAGCTCTGAGATAGGCATATCTGGAGCTCTCAAGGGGAGAGGGGAAGGTGGGCGGTGGCAATTCTGCAGGGTGGCAAGAAGTAGAGCTGTGCTCCAACCCTGGGGCTGTAGCCAGGGCCTGAGGTGTTCCAGGAAGACCTTTGCCTTTGCTAAAGAGCTGCAGGCCAGGGTTTCACCTGTAACCCAGCACTGGGTTTTTGGGCAACACTGTTGGAGGGGGCAGGTTGTTGGGACAGATCTGTGCACACCCACATGCTGTGGTCTGCAGGTATCTGCCCAGGAACCCAGGGGCTTTCTTCGAGACAGGAGCCTGGTTCAGATTCTACATGAGCCCCTTCCAGCTGGACACTGGTGAGCACCTGGGCTCTCTGGAGCTCTGCTGTCTCCAGTGGTACTAGCAAGCTCTACCATGACCTGTTTTTGGGGGGATGATGCACTTGGCAGTGCAAGCCTGCTGCAGCCTTGGAGGATGCTGTGCTGCCCCATGGCTCAGATGGGAAAACTGCGGTGCACAGGGCTTTGTGCTTCACCCAGTAGCCACAGTCTGCCCCAGAGTTAGACTGAGCCACAGGGTCTCTACCCCTGCAGTGTACTGCATGCCTCCTTGGGCAGCGTCCGATGAGCCATGGCCTCCACACAGCTGAGGGTGACAGTTTCTGTCTGGCCCATGGCTCCCAGGGCTTCAGCATCCTGTAGGGGCATCGGGTGAAGAACAGGGGAGGCCTTTGAAGGGAGGGTCTCAATGAGCGGGTCTGTCCTGAGCTGTCCAGCTGGGCTGTGCCTGGCACAGGGCTGGGGTAGCGTGCTGGGCAGTGCTGGGTGGGCTGAGCTGCCTCTGTGGATGCCCCCTCAGCAGAAGAGGAAGGCCTGGTTGGCCAGGAGGCTTTCAAAACTGCAGGCTGATAGGTTGGAGGGGTGAGGTGGCCAGCAGAGTAGGTGGGGCTGGGGCAGCCAAGGTGGGGCTGGCAGTTTCCAGGCTGGAAAATTGAGCCCCAACCCCTGGCCCCCCACCCTGTTGGGCTGTGAGACATGGAAATGTCCTCGATAGCAGGCCCTGGCCCCACAGCTGGGAGTCTCTTCCTGGACCTGTTGTCAACTCCGGAAAGAGTGGCTGTGTGGGGTCATAGCCCAGAGTGCTTTGTTTAGGAAGGGAAGAGAGCATGCAGTAGAGGGACTACACCAGGGATCCTCACACTCAAATTCTGTGTGGTGGAGTGGGGAAGGGACCCCAGGAGCTTGGGGCTGTTACAGGCAGGGCCACTGGTCCTATTTGCCCTCTCAGTAGCCCTGCCTGGGTGTGCTGTGGTCCCCTTTGTAGAGATGGGGTGGTGGGCTAGAGAGGGTCTCACATGGCAGAGGTTCTTGGAACTGGTGGCTTGGTAGCCTCAGCCAGGGGAGGTCTGTCCCCTGGGTAGGGTTTGGCTCTCCTTGGAGCTAGAACTTGTCTCTCCAGGCGCAGGCAATGAAACGATCTCCCACGCAGGAGAAAATGGAAGGATTACTTAAAGCAGCTTGGAGACCCCAGAAAGAAAATAAAAACAGAAAAAGTCATCATTTTTAAGTAGGGGAGGTCCCCTAAAACCCTCCGTGTGATGGGTGGGTTGTGCACAGTGCTAAATCGAATCAAATTAAGAAAAACATTTTCTAAGCGCAAGTAAAATATCTGTTTAATTAGACCATAAAGAGAAAATTAAAAGTAATATTTTGCAGAGGAGTAATTACTGTCTTTCTGAAGGGCCTGGCTTTCAGAGGGGTGAGAAGTAGGCCTGGTGACTGGAACTTTCAGTAGCTAAAATCTTGAGCTTGGGGCAGTGGCCCCTTGGGGGCTTGGGCCTGTGGACACTTGGAGCTTCCATGGTGGCTGGGAGAGGAGGCCTGGCCTGGGGGAAGGGTCCTGGTTGCCTTGCCTGTGCTTCCCCTCTCCCCACAGTGTGGGCCTAGATCCTGGAAGGGACAGGAAGTTCAACTGAGCAAGCTTGCTAGTGGCTGCTGTGGTAGGCTTGCAAAGCAGGGTATAGCAGAGCAGAGGTGGGAGGGCAGGACACGGGGCCTTTGTCTGGTCTGAGGGTAGCATCTGGAGTCTTTGCAGGGAATAGCAGGTGCTGTGGGGGGCCCCTTCCTCACCTTCTGGAGCCTTGAGTGGGGTGGCGAGCTGGGCTCTGCTCTGCCTTCTCTGACACAAAGGTGCTGGTCCCTCTAGACTGAGAGGTATTGGGTTCCTCTGGAGCAGGCTGTGTAGTTCTGAGTGACCCTGGTGGACAGTTTGGTGGTTCTGTGCCCTTGCTGCAGCCTGGCTGGCTTGAGGGGCACAGTGGGGCAGATCCTCTGTCCTACTTGGTCACCCCAGGAAGCCATCTCCTCTCTGGGCTGGAGAGATGGCCCAGTATGCCTTTGGAATCAGGCCAGGTAACCCCCAGAACTTGGCTGTCTGTCCCAGAGAGGCGCTTGTCCCAAAAGTGATCTCTGGCTTTGGAGCCCAGACTCGTGGGGTTGTGCATCAGGTCCTGGCGTGCCAAGCATTGCTTGGGAGAAGGGTCCCTGGCTGAGAGGCCCTGTGTTGGCTATGCAGCTGACCAGGATTCCTGAACATCTAGTGACCTGAGGCCTGAATGGGGCTCTGATTTCCTGAAGACCCAGCCTGGTGGGGACCTGGGCAGGGGGCGCTAGGCTGGGCTTGCCTGCTCTGGTCTTTTGTCATTTTTTTCCTCCCACTACCAGCAGGGACTGATGGGGCTAGGGCTGTTGCATTCTCAGGTCAGTCCCTGCCTGCCTTGCCCTTGCCCTTTGGCCTTCCTGTCTTGTGCTGTGGAGACCATGGAGGGGGTAAAGGGGGCTCCCCGAGAGGCCTGTGGTCCCCAAGACAGGCTTAGGCCCCATGGCCTGTCCAGAAGCCCCAGAACAAAGGGCTGTGGGGCCTGGGCCTCAGGCTGGAGCTGGGGGCTGGGCAGCTGCCTTTCAAGTTGGGTTAATGGCTCCAGCAGGCAGCATTTCCTTCCCCTTCACAGCCTCCTGCTGAGTGGAAAAACCAGGCAGTCAGAGCTGCTTGCCCTCCGCCTGGGGCTGGGACCACCCCCTCTCCCCCGCCCCTTGCAGGGCTCCCTGTGGCTGGCTGGGCACAGTGAATTCCCAGGGGTGAAGGGGGAGTGGGGTGTTGGTTAATCAGGACCAGGCCTGCCAGGCACTTCAGAGCCTGGAGACAATCCAGGCCTTCCGGACTGGACCACAAATCAGGCAGCTGGCTATGCTAGGCTTGTCAGGGGTCACCCTTTCATCTGTCTGGGGCTAAGGCAGGGCTCACACTGCAGAATGCGGGGTGGAACTGGGGACAAGGGGAAGAGAGATCCCCTCTCCACAATGGGCCCCAGTGCCCCTCACAGTGATGGCCTCCTCTGGCCACAGCTCTGACTTTTGTGAATTTCTTGGGTATTGCGGACATGGCAGCATGTGTGTGTTGGGGGGGAGTGGAGGGTTAATAGTCTTGGGGGATGGTGGCCTCTGCTTCCTTCTCTGAGAAATGGGTGTGTCTAGGGAGGCTGTGGTTTATTCTATGGCCAACTGAGTGTCTAGATTAGAGCCAGGCTTTTGGGGCTGTGTGGCCAGCTGAGAGCAGTGAACTGGGGATCCTTGGGTCCGGGGCAGTATGGAGGCCCAGGCCAGGGCAGGTGGAAGTGGGTAGAATGGACTCTGGGGGAGGACCCCTGTGCTCTGTCAGGATGACATGGAAAAGTCTGAGGTTGTCACAGCCACAGGTGGGCTGATATTTGTTCAAGGGGCTGTTCAGGCCACCTGCCCTGTACTTGAGGCTGACTCACGTCTCTGGGAGCAGGACAGGTGCTGGTCCAGGCTCAGGCCCTGGCCCTGTACGACTCTCCCAGGCTGCACAGTCTTGTGGGGTGAGGTGGGTCACAGGCTCAAGGTCCTTGGTAGTTTCTCTTCTGGTGAGACTTGCTGTGAGGCTCAACCCCATTCTCTTCTGTGGAAGGGGTTGCCTCTCTGCAGAGTTCTCCCTCCAAACCAGGCACTTTGGCTCCTGTTTTTGCCTACCTCTGGACACCAATCTCACAGTTAGGACCCCTTTCCCCGCTGCCCTCACCCAGCCTTCCCAGGGCATGTTCAGGGATGGGGAGCCTTGCTTTTCCATCTCCTGCCACTCAGCTCGTGGAAGGAGCTGACCTCTCTCAAACTGGGGACCTTGCTGAGTGGTGTGACTTGGGTGGACACATTCATAGCAGTGCCATATTTCATTTTCCTCCTAGGCCTGCCTGACCATGTTGGCTGGAAAGGCAGGGAGAGGGTTTTCAGACCCTGCACTGCCCACAGGAGCTTGGGTGAGGGAAGTCCTGGTGGCTGCTTCTCACCAGCTTTCACCTGGTCCTGGACCTGTGCTTTTGCCTCTGAATCCCCGTTGTCTGGGAGCCACAAACACAAACACGTCTTGTTAGCTGGGAGCCAGTGAGGTTAATGATGGTGGGGGAGGCCAGCAGATACCACGGGTACTGCTAACCTCGCTACTAAGCTCTGATAATTATTTTCCTGCTGGGCTCCTGAGGATGAAACTGTTGGGGGCTTATTAATTAGTTACGGATGGTGCTGTGGCTGTGACGTGAGCTTGCCGTGCTGTGGAGGGCGAGGCTTGGTGGCAGACTCCCTGCATGGGCCCATGCCTCGGCACTAATTGCACCTTTGTCCCTTGCTGTCCTCAGGATCCTTGCCTCTCTGCTCTGCTTCTTGATAAGCTCCCGGCACCCGGAGTCCTGCCAACGTGCCGTCCTGAGGCCGAGAGCCGCTGCGATGTCTGCACCACCCACCTGCACCAACTCACGAGGGAGGCCCTGGGCCTGCTTCAGGCCCCTGCCAGCCGTGAGGACCCCGATGTCCCTCAAGGAGGCCTCATGCCCCATCTCCCCGGAACCATGACCAGCTCCAGGGACACACCCGGGCCAGCTGGCCCTGCTGGGAGGCAGCCCCCGGTGGGGCCAGACAGGGTGAAGGGGCTGGCCTGGCCTCCTGGAGCCAGCGTCCAGGTGTCTGTGGCACCCGCGGGTCTCGGGGGAGCCTTGAGCACGGTCACCATCCAGGCCCAGCAGTGCCTGGAGAGCATGTGGAGCCTCTCGAGGGTCAACAGCTTCCTGCCACCCACCTGCCTGGTGAGTGCCCTGGGTGGGTGGGGCTGCTGGTTAGAACCTGGTTCCCTCTCAGGCCCCTGACCACATCTGAGTACCCTGTGGTGTGGCACCCCTGCAGCCAGGGAACTTGGGCAGGGGGACTCTCAGAGCATCAGAGGCCCCACATCAGGTCTTCTGTGATGGCTCTGTTTGTCAGGGCCCTCTGAGTCTCCAGAAGTAGCTATGGGGACAGTTTGGGCCAGCTTCACTCCTGACACCACTTGTGATGCTGCAGGTGACAGAGGCCTGGGCTCTGGGTTTGTGCTGTTGGTCTTGGTTGACCTGATGAACCATGAAGGGAACTCCCTGTGGGAGAGTGAGGCACCTATGGAGAGAAGCTGGGAAGGGGAGAGGGATCTGGGCAAGGGGTAGCTGTGCACATGAGTGCTTGGCAGCGTGGAGAAGCCCCCTGCATTTCCTCCTGGAACACCAGGGGCTGTAGGTGGCTGTGAGGAGCTGTGATTCTGCATGGTAAGCATTGCAGGGGCTCCAGGAGTTTCAGGGTCTCTGAAATGGGCTAGTAGGCCCTTGCCCTCAGTCTTCATGCCAGGTGGCATTTCAGGGGGATGGTTAGAGGTTCAAGAAGGATGACCCCACAGCCGTCAGGACAGTCAGTACAAATCCTGATGCAGGACAGGCCCCCATCCCCCATCTTCTGGACTTGGCCCCTCTGAGGTTGGCAAGGTGATGCTGGCTGGATGTCGTGTCCCTGGAAGTGGCCTTGACTAAAAATCCTGCCTAGGCTGTTGCTGGTCCTGTGACTGGCTGCTGTGGCTGGTCCTTTGAGGCCATTCTGTTCTTACAGTTGGGGTGCCAGGGGGCTCACAGTCTCCAGTTGGTATAATAATAACTCACCTCGATGCCCACAGCCCGAGCACAGTGCTCCTCCATTTATCATCCTGAGGGGAGGTAGAGGGGAGGCAGGCTGGCACTTCCTCATCCTTACTGACTGGGCTTCCCGGGAGATGTGTCTTGGGTACCATCTCCCGCTTAGGTAACTGGCTCCTGGAGGAGGGCATTGAGCTGGGTCCCAAGGGCCAAGACCTAAGAAGCTGACCCATGGGTTCCCTCACTACCCCTGTCATCCTGGCCTGGATGCCTACAGCTGAAGCCTGTATGTCTGACTGCTGGAAATTGAGTGAGGTGAACATTGGCCATCTCTGTGCCTTGATGTGGTGATGGTGGTGGGGCACAGGGGAGGGGAGGGTCACTGGTCTCTGGCAGGGCAGCCGTGCTGGCAGCCAGCATGCCATAAAATGTGGGCAGTTAAGGCACCCACTCCTTGTTTTATGTGCACATTGATTTTGTTCAGGGTAGGCAGGAATGGATTTATAATTAGAGAACAGTCTTGATAATCAATAGAGAGATTATTAGAACCATAAATAGAACTTTAGGATTCAGATGAGGTAATGTCCCCCCAACCAGTACATTGATCACTAGAGGTGGCCCCAGAGTGATAAAATACTGCCTGGTATGGTCTAGGATTAAATACTTCTGGAGGGTCCACACTGTGAGTCTGTGTCACAGCAGGCCCTAGGCGGAATGGGATTGTTTCTGGGCAGGTAGACTGATCTTGACAGGTGCCTCTGGCAGGCTGTAGCCCCTCAGTCTTGAGATGTGGAGTAGAGAGAGCAGCCCAGGCCTGGTGGGCACTTTATTGTGACTGAGGCCATCAGTGGAGGCTGTAGAAGAGGGGCCAGATCTGGCCAGAAGGCTTCATCTTTGGAGAGGGAGGAGGGTGGCCAGGGCTTTGAGATCTACTGGAGCTATAGACAGGCAGGGCCTGGAACATTTTGGTTGCGATGGCTAGGAGCCTGCCCTGGTGACTGCCCTGGATCTTGCTGTTGCTTGAGTCCAGATGGATCAGCCCTTGGCTAGCATGGTTATAACCAGCCCCATGGCCCACCCACGTCATGTTCATGAGCACAGAGGGGCCTTTTCCAGGCTGTTCCACTTCCTGAGTGTGTCCACACTTTGTCGTGGAGCTCTGAAGCCTGGCCTGGCCATTCTTTCCAGAATGTCAGATGGAGGCAATTCTGTCACTGTGGAGGAGGAGAGCTGCCCACTGGAGCTGGGCTCAGGGCCCTGTCCCCACTCTACCTGCCCTGACATTCTGGGCAGTGTGCAGTGGCCATGGGCCACCCTCAGTCACCTGCCCTGGCCTGCTCCCTGGGGACCACTAGGGTCCAGAACATGCTGTCCCTCGACACCAGCGGTGCTGAGTGTCCTTGGGCAGGGGCCTTCTTGGAGGCCAAAGCAACCTGCACTCATCTCTTGGCAGAGGCCATAGTAGATTAACAGTGACTGCCTGGAGGGAGGCCTCAATGAACCAGGGTTTCCCACCATCTGTGATGGTTGGGGAGAACCAGTCTGGAGCTCCTGCTTGCTTGCCTCCTACCGTGAGCCCTGGAGTGGGTTGGGTATCCACGCAACCACAGGGGCTGGCTGGGCACTGGGGAGTGGAGGAGCTGTGCTGGGCTTGGGCTTGGTTCTCTGTGATGCTCCCTGACCCATTCATTGCTGGTGCCCTGTGCAGGCTTGGTGTACACACCCACACAGTGGGGCTAGCAGGATGATCTTTTCCTCCAAGGGAGGTCTCTGTGACTGGGCAGGTTAATAGGGATAGGACTGCCAGGCCTTGGAGGCCTCTGGATGAGGAGGTCAGAACTTCATGGGCCAGTGAGTTGGCTTATCTAATGCTCCAGAGCTGCCAACCCCTGTGCAAAGGTGAGGTGGCCACTGCAGTTTAGACCTGATCCTCCTCCACCTCGGCAGCCCCCTAACCCTACGGTAACACCCAGTGGGTGTTTATGGGGAGATTGCCAGGGGATTCTGTCCTTCATGTTCCAGAATCTTACAGGTGTGGAGACCAAGCCTAGAGGGCTGCTAAGAGATGGGCTAGTATGGTGTTTCCTAAACTGTTCCAAAGAACCTTGGTGTTCCATGAAGGTCAGCCCAGGGAGGCTGCTGGGCTCTAGCTGCCAGCCTCTGCTGGCTGGTGTTAAGAGACTCCTATGTAGCAGGTCCAGCAGAGTCCATGTGTGTGGGAGGACCACTGTGAGCAGACGTGGGTGCCCCACAGGCCGTGCCTCGGCTGGCGCTGGCCTCACGCTCTCCTTTCTCCTTGCTTTTCCTTCTGTTGCTGCTGTGTGCCTCCATCATGCTTTCTGTTTGGTGCCCACCCCATCTCCTCTCCCCTCCCCGCTCCGTGTTGTGGTCTCCCTTCTTGCCGGCCCCCTTTCCTCTCTGGCTCTTGCTTTGGGACGGCTTCTTTTCGCATGCCTGGGCTCTGCTTCTGGCAGGAGTTGGCAGTGGCCGTCCAGGTGGACGGAGCCGTGTCACGGCAGCTCGTGGGATGGTGGAGCCAAGTCGTGTGCGGGATTCCCAAGACAGGTCAGTGTGGGGAGGTTCAGCCGCACAGGCATATACCATCCTGGTGGGCTGGACATCTGGCTAGAGGTGGAGATGCTGCCAGCAATGCCAGGGGGGTGGCTTGGCCCAGTGGGAGTGGGTGGAGGGGCTGTGTGGGGCCAGGGGAAACAGCTGTGACTTTGCTGTGGCCCTCCAAGACTTAGTCCTGTGTCCAGCAGGCTGGCTGGGTGTCATAGTGTTATTGGGCTTGGACTGGGACACTGGGCCCGGGTGCCTTAGTGGTGCCATTATATTCTGGTCAGAGCCAGCTGTAGGTGCCAGGGGATCTATGACAAGTGTCCCTCCACTTGTCCTGGTTCTATGTTGCTGGCCACTGTGCCCAGTGGTACTCACTCAAGCCCAGCTTTGCTCTGAGGGGCTCAGGCCACAGCAGCCATTGCTGTAGCTTTAAAATTATTTCTTTCCTATGCTACTTTGCTTAGCGAAGGAGTTCAGATCTTTCAAAGGGAAACATACTAATTGATAGTAAAGAATTCACATTTGAGGTGAGGGAGTTGCTTGAAGGAGGAGACTGGCCAGGCTGGGAGGCTGGGTTGTGTGTGTGTGTGTGTGTGTGTGTGTGTGTGTGTGGTACTGGGGTTTGGACTAAGGGTCTACGCCTTGAGCCACTCCAGCCCTTTTTTTTTTTTTTTTTTTTTGAGATAGGGTGTCCCAAACTATTTGCTTGAGCTGGCTTAAAACTGCGATCCTCCTAATCTGTGCCTCCTGAGTAGCTAGGATTATAGGTGTGAGCCACCAGTGCCTGGCTCAGGCTTGGTTCTGAGGGAGTGTATGAGTTCCTGCCCTGCAGACTGCTAGCCATGGTCTGCTGGCACAATGCCTGTTGAACTGTTCCAGGTTCACCTTTCTGCTCCAGGTTTGCCTTTTTCTGCTACTGACTGTTCCTCTTTAAGCCCTGGGGAGTGGCCACTGTCCCAGGGGCCAGGAGGGCTGAGTTTCCACTGGTGTAAGGCTTGGGCTCTCTGTGGACTTCCATGGACATGGTTCTGCTTTGTGTCCCAAAACTGGAAGCCAGTGTTGGCCATGGGCTGGGCAGGGTGAGGCCCTCCCTCGTGGTGAGGAGGGCTGCTTTCCTTTGATGGCAGGGCCTCTTGGCATGAGCCTTCCAGTCCTGGGTGGCTTGTTCTGCCTGGCCTCTGGTCTGTGTCCCTTGGGAGACTCCAGGACGCTGGGATCTTCAGCCCAGGTTACCAGACTGGGCCCATATCCTCTCAGCTTGGGGTCTCCAGCCCTCTCCAGCCTGAACACAGGGCACTTGTGCAGGGATGTTGACCCCCTACTCGGGGCCCAGTGGAGCTGATGTCCTGGAGGGCAGCAGGCCTTTGGGAGAAGGGGACAGGCTGCCTGTCCTGCCCTGCCCGGAGTTGTATCCACTCCCTAGAGCAGGTTCGTCTGGGTCTGGAGCTTGGGGTGTAGACATGTCCTATGCGGAAGCCGTCCTGGGGAGCACTTAATTACAGCTGTGCTTCATTATGGGGCCGTCTCACTTTCTGGAATTTATTTTAGCTAATTAGTTGGAAATGCCAGAGCAGTGTTTCAGACGATGGGACCATCATACATTATCATGTGTGGGGCAATTAGTGCTGTGCCAAATATTTATTGTGGTTTCTTGTCTGAGTAAAAGCCTTCTAGTGCTCCCAGGTGGCCCAGGGCTGAGAGGACATGGGGTGTCTATTGTCTGACCTCTGTGGTCATTGTACTTCTGGAAAGTCAGGACCTGGCAGGTTCCCCTTTGCCTCCATGGGTCCTTCCTGGGGTAGACCTGTCACGTCCTTGAGCTGGGGATGTGACTTGCCTTGGAGCCCAGGCCTTCTCTTCTGGGTCTGTTTCCCAGCCCTGATTTCTGGGACCTTTACAGCCACACAGGCAGGATCCTGGGGTGCTAGGCTTTGGAATGCTCAGGCATGGGGCACTGGGTATCTCTTTGCTCACCAGCCTGCTTCTCATGTGGACTTTCTTCTTTATAGGCTGAGGCGGCTGTGGCTGCTGTGGCCGTGGCAGATACGGTCCGAGATGGCCCCCCTATACCAGGCCCTGATGGCGTGTCCAAGGCATGGGGTCGTGGGGCAGCCTGCACAGCAGCCCTGGTCACCCCAGCCCCAGGCACCTCGACTGGAGGTTCCACAGGCCCATCGGCTGCAGCCTCTTTCTTTATTAGGTATGTACTCCTGGGGCCCTTTGTGTAGCAGAGTGGATGGGGCGTTGTGTCTGGGAACAGAGCCCCTCAGAGACCTCGGCTCCTGACCCCTGATGGCCTGTGAACCATTCCAGGGAGGTCTGTGGGTACTAGTGGCTCAGTAGTTCAGCTGACGACCTGGCTGGCTTCTCAGGACACCCTGAGAGGACAAGGCCTCCCATGGGTCCCTGTCCCAGGCCTAGAGCTCAGGTACCTAGGAGTGACTGGACCCTTGGTTTGCACCCTTGGTTTGCCTAGCCCTGAGCTGAGCCTGTAGGCATCAGGTCCTGGGGACATGTGTGGTTGGATGTGGTTGTTGGACAGCGGGAGTGGTGCACTTAAAGGTGGGTGGTGTGTGAGAGCGGGGTCTTCCCCTACCCTGGCTGTTGGGGAGCAGGCCCTGGTCTCAGCCCAAGGCACAGCCCTGGGTTCTACAGCCCCAAAGCCCCAGTTTTATCCTTATCCTGGTGGCCTGAGGTACGAGAATTACAGGATGTCATCGTGGTAATGAGTGGTAATGGCAGCCCAGCTGTGGGTCACTGTCCCATTAGCAGCCCGCTCTGGTACTGATAAGCTTGTCCATGAATCACACCGGCAGCCAGCCAGTGAGGAGGGCGCTTTATCAGCGCTGGTGGTGGGGGGTGGGGGGACAGGGGACGGGGACGGGGACTGCGTGTCCTGATGGGGGAGTGCTGGGGCATATGATTAGGGCATTGTTGCTCTGGCTGATGAACACGCTGCCATGCTGTGCTGTTCTCCCTCCTGTGGCTGCTGTGGCCTCAGCTGCCACCCCAATTAGGCACAGAGAGCCTGGCCGGGATCCCCTGGGAGGGGGTTTTTCCAGCCTTCTCAGGAGCCCCCCCCAACCCATGTGACAGTGGCAGTCAGGGTGGTGCCTGGGGTGTAAGGGCAGGCAAGGTAGCCACATCTCTGTCCTGCTTAGCGCTGATTTCAAGTGCCTCTGCCTTGGGCTTCTGTGGTTGATGAGGCCGCCATGCTCCTTCTGGCGGTGCTGGCGGGAGGATTTGAAATGATTAATGCTTTTGAAAAGAAAGACCTTCCATCGCCATTGGTCCTGAGTCTAGGAGCCACTCTGCCGCCTGGTGCTGAGGCCCCTGGTGCCTGAGGAGGGGTCTTGTCACTGAGGTGGGCGGGCCGCTGTTGGCCCCCCACTCTGGCTTATTAGCACCCTGGAGCCCAGCAGTCCTGGCAGAGCAGGCGCAGGCTTCCTTTTGTCTCAGCCCAGGCTGGAGCTGCTCCTGCCCGCCAGCGAGCTGACCTTGGGCAGTTACCATAGAAACAAAGAAACAAGCACTTAGGGCTGGGGGTGAGAAGCGGGCTTCCCGAGGGGGGAGCACTGCCGGCTGCCATTACTTCCAGCCTGTTAGATACCCTGAATTACAGCAGTTTCCTCAGTAGGTGGCCGGTCGTGGGTCGAATTGGAGTGGGTGTCTCCTCGGGCACTTGTCCCAGCAGGAGGGCCATGGGCTGGGGTCAGTGTCGGTGGCCCTTTATCAGAGGGTGTTTTGAGACACTGCCACAGCTCCTGGCTTTGTGTGTGGTGGATGGGGGGGCTGCTCAGCTCAGAGTGGAAAGGGCTTGTCTAGAGTTCACCAAGAGACAATGAAACTTTGACCACCTGCCCTGGGGCACGTGCTGACAGTGTATTCTGTGTTCTCACCTCCACCCTCACATAGGACCTGGAGGGGAGGAGCTGACCCTGGTGCTGTGAACCACCAGGGTGGACTTCAAGGGTGTAGTAGGAGTCTGGCAGGTGCATTTGCCACATGGCAGGAACAGGGTGGGGTCAGGAGTTTGGGTGAGTCTGGGCTCTGCCGCTCTCTGAGCGCCTCCACCCTAGGTCGGTGCCAGACTCTGGCCTTCCCAGATACCACAGCCACCTCTGTACGCATCTTTACATGGGGAAGCTGAGGGGCAGTGTGGTCCCCCAACAGCCCAGGGTTTCCTTAATACCTGCCAGGCACAGGCAGGGCTGAGGCCTGGGTAGTTTGGATCTGGTCACCACAGCCTCAGCAAGAAATCTGAGGACAGGTTGTGTAGGCAGGGCTTTGGTGATGAGTTTTCTCCAAAGGCTGCGACGACCTTCACGCCCATGCTTTTAGCCCTCCCTCTCCTGCCTAACCGTGTCCTTCTCTGCTGCTCTGGGAGTGCCGCATCCCTGCCAGTCTGCAGCCTTCCCTCTGAGATGCTTCTGTTAGTGCTGCCCACCTGCCCTTCTGCCCTTGGGATGGGTCATCTCTGGGACTGGGAATTTAGGTGTCAGGAGATTTGCTGGGGGAGACATCTTCCAGGCAGGTTAATGGTAGGGAGAGCCATGGGGTTTCCTTCTGGCATAGGGACACCCTGCTGTACTCACAGGTCTCTGAAGATCCACCGTGTGGCCTCTGTGGAGCCCCTGGTGTCTGCTTCAGACTGGGTAGAGATGCAGGGACAGGATGGACTAGTGCAGAGCCTCATGAGCTTGAGCTGGGGCTCCAGGGCCTGAGTGCTCTACAGAGGAGTTTCACCTGCTTACAGCCTGCAGGTGAGGATTTCAGGTAACATGCAGGGTGTCAGCATGCAGGCCTGGGAGGCTTTAGGCAGCAGCTGCCTCCAGCTAGGTGCTAGGCTCTTTTAGCAGCCCCCACAGCACCCAGCCAAGGTCCCCCGATGCTGGTCCTAAGTCCCTGATTGGTGATGGAGAGTGGGAGTGTGGCCTGGCCTGGCCCACCAGCCCCTTACAACCGGGTCTGGAAGCTCTGGATTGGCCAGAACTACCTCCCATGGGAACAGGCCAAGTTCCAGTCTATCTTTTCATATCTAAGGGTCTTATCATAAAGCCAGCTGTTTATAAATTACCTCTTGTTTGGAGGAGGTGAGTTTTCTTTGTAAAAAGCCAAAATACTTTTCTTTCTGTTCTCATGAATTGCAGAACAGAGTTGGCGAGCCCAGGAGGGGGCTCTGGGATTGTGTGAGATATTTGATGGCTTCAAGGAAGCAGATGACATTGGCGCTCATGCACCTGCTCATTCATGCCCTTGCTCACAGGTGTGTGCCGGGCTTCCACTGTGAGCTCAACCTGGCTTGGCTAGTGTCTCCTTCAGAGCCCTGCAGCGGGGCTCAGCTGCATACATCATAGTCTCAGTGGTTCCTGTGGTAGCAGGAGACTTGAGGACTAGTCCAGCTTGGGCTGAGGCCAGGTTTCCTGGAAGGAAGTATCCTAAGGACAAAGGCTGCAGTGCAGGTGCGGCTCTGGGACTTGCCCACACTTCCCACTGTAGGGCCTTGTTGGTCCTGGGCATGGCCACATGCCATCACTTAGCCTTGGTGAGGCCCATGTTCCCCCTTGCTGTTCAGAAGCCAGGCTTGTACTTCCACAAGGCTGGGGGCCTGGCCCCTGGAACCCCAAGATCCCTGCAAGCTGAGGTTCCATTGCCAGGTTGGGTGTTGATGGTGCTGACTGGTGTTTGTCTCAGTTTCATTGGGGCCTGAATTTCATCAAAGGAGAAAGTGCCCATCCTGGGGCTTTGGTGGCACAGTGATGTACTATGAGTCATACCCAGTGAGATGAGCCCATAAAACCAGGTGCCCGAGGGCTGGGCGGGCTGGAGAGTGGCTGTCATCTCCCAGATTCTTGGAGCTGATGGGGGATGGAGGAGGGGTTCCTTGAGTTAGGTCAGACAGTGGGGTGGAGACACCTGGCCATAACCTTGCAAACTCCTAGGGCTGCAGACCTCAGGTTGCTCAGCCTGTCCAGGAGGTAAGCAAGGTACAGCTCCTGAGAGGGCTTCCAAGGGGCACTCTGTGGGTGGCCTCGACAGTGGCCGACAGATGAAAGCCACCTTGAATTAGTTCCACTTCTTCCTCCCGTCCCAACACTCTATGCCTCTCCTAGCAACCTGTGGTCCCCTGATGGCTTTCATGTCCCTTTGAGACTTAGAGGGAGGGTGCTACCCCTTATGCTCTGGGTTTGAGCCCTGACCCCACTGACCTAGGGAAGGGCCTGGGGGCAAGGAGCCAGTGAGGGGTGAGGAGTGACTCAGGGTGCCTTGGTCACATCCATGGCTGTCTGCTGACCAGTGCTGTCACTTGAGGAGCCCACACCTTCCATCAAGGGCCTGGTGCTGGGCAGCACCCCTGCACTGCCACTTTCTGAAGTCCTGGGAACAGGTACCACGGTACCCATTTGCAAGTGAGAAAATAACTCTTAGAGCCCTTTGTCATGCACAGGGGTTCCTGGGCCCCTCCCTGCCCAGGTAGGCCTGAACATACCAGCAACACCTGCAGAGGCTTCCATCCTTCCTCTCTCCCCTACTCCCTCTGTCCCCATGATCAGCACAACCCTCCCTGTTGAGTCCCAGCCCTGGGGAGTGCCTGGCAAGTGGGTGGTGGAGTTTCCCTGTCTGCATCTTGCCTGGAGAGGCTAATGGCTAATGTCCTCAGAGGTGGGGCTCTGGCTTCTTCCTACAGAAGCTGTTGGGTAAGCTGCAGGGTGACCCAAGTGGTTAGGGCGGGTTGGGATCCAGGAAGGGATGCCAAGACTGGGACTGTGGGAGGCAGGAAGAGCCCTGGAGCTGATGCTGCTCACATTGCTGTCCACCTGATGGGCATCACAACTCTTCCTGCCACTGACCTCCACAGTCCTGGGGCCATACCACCTAGGCCCAGCCTCCACAGTGGTGCAGCTTGAATGTGTCTCAGGGTCCCTTCTTATCCTGACCTCTTGCCCTTGGGCCTGCTGCTTGGCAAACAGGGCCGAGGAATGCTTCCCTGCAGGGTGAGGTTTGCTAACATGTTGGCTCAGGCAAATGAGGAGGTAAATGCTGGAGACGTGTGGTCAGAGGACCTTAGATACCCATGACCTAGGCCCCCAGGGCACAGATGCCATCACCACCTCCAGCCCATGGCCAAAGAAACCACATCCCAAGGTCCAGGATTCTTCCTGGGCGTGGGTCCTCCACTCCCCACTTCAGCCCTGCCTGGTGCACGGGTGCCGCTGAGGCTCCATTAAGAACTCTGCTATGTGTCGTAGATTACTTTTATTTTCCATGATGACACCTCACTAGGAGGAAGTTGTCCCCGGGGCCTCTTAAAAGACAACTCCTATTAAAGATGAGAGGAGTTACCAAAACGCTGGCTGGCCGTGAATCTCCCCGAGGTGGGAGGTGCAGTAGAGGATGTGGGCCTTCCACATGGGGTACCTCTCAGGAGGACAAAATGGACCTGAGAGGACCAAGGGGCTGGAGGAGATGGAGTCTGGATTCAGGGGGTGGCTGGGACAGGCTGGGTTGGGAAGGGAAGCTGCCAGGTGCTGTCAGGAGCTGGTCTGTAGCCTCTTGTCCTGGCCACTTGCCCCCCACCAGGGGCTCCGCTGTTGGAAGGTGGTGACAGGCATGGGGAGATGGGCTTGGCTAGGGTCACCAGTGAGTGTGTTCACATTGGTGTTGCACTGGGTCACCTATGTTTGAGGGGGGAGGGGGAGTGCAGAGTTAAGCAATCCTGGGTGTCCAGGAGCAGGGAGGAGCAGGGGGCTCTGGGGGAAAGATTGGAGGCTACAGGGAGGCCTGACTCAGGGACCAGCAGGAACAGGTACAGAGTTGACCATGGAGATGTCTCCCTGTGCAGGTGTGTGGTATACTTGTCAGACTTTGGTGTATGAGAAGGAGTGGGCCAGTTTCTGCCCTGTGAACCAGGGCACAGCGGTCATGAGAGCCGCATTAATGAGCTCCTTCTGTATGTGGACACTGTGCTGAGTGCCTAGAATGTATTAGCTCGTTGGGGTCACACCCAAGACCCTCCAGGAGAAACTGAGGCATGGGGATGCTAAGTTGACATGCCCTAATCCTTCCATCTATGTGTCTGCTGCAGCCTGGGCTCTTGAAGTCCTGTCACTGACAGCAGCTGCAGGGTCTGGAATAAAGTTGATGCCTTCAGTGCCGAGCACAGAGGCTTGGGGTGCAGTTCTGTCTGCCTGAACTCTCTGTCACCTGGTCTGGCCTGTGTGCTGGGCAGAGCTGCCGGGGAGGAACTGTGGCTGTGACCCCAGACCTGGACCTCTCTTGGAGAGACAGAACTTGGGCTGTGTAACCACATTTCTGACTGTTTCCTGTGAGCACCCCCCCCCACATGGCTGATGGGGTTTGAGGTGTGACTGGGTGGTTCATGGACACTGACACAGTGACAGTGACAGGGACTGAGCACCCTGCCTCTTCTCCCCTCACCCCCCAGGGCTGCCCAGAAGCTCAGCCTGGCTTCCAAGCGCAAGAAGCACCACCCACCACCTGCCCCTGCCACCCGTGGTACCTCTACATATCCCACTGACTTCAGTGGCATCCTGCAGCTGTGGCCACCCCCGGCACCCCCCTGCCTGCTCAGGGCTGCCAAGGCCAAGGACAACCCCGGAGGCTTTGGAAAGGTATACACAGCCCTAGGTCAGGTGTCCGTGGGAGTGGGGAGGTCAGGGCTATCTGAGAAGGTGTGGGAGATGGAGGGGCCCCACTCCCCTCTCCAGGACTGAACAGGGATACAGATGGGGAACTTGTATAAGGGGGTAGAGGGGCCTTGGGAGACTGAGGACCTGTGACTTGGGAAATGGTGGGTGGCAGTGTGTAATCAGGGGTCCCCATGCATGTGCTGGTGTTCCTGGGGGCTGGGGGTGGGGTCTGATCCAGGGAGCCCCTTCTTTCCTCATCTCCATTAAATGTTGCTCGGGGGGGGGACCCCTTAGCTCTTCCATGTCACATGTCCAGATGGATTTCAGATGAGGACTGGAGAGGGCAAGGGTTCCAGGTGGTGATGGACAGGCTGGTGTCCTTCCTCCAGGAGTTCTGTGGATTGCTTCCCCTCTAGGAGGCTTAGAGAAGTACCTGTACCCCAGACCCCAGGGGGTCCTGCGTAGCAGTAATTGTAATTGCCTGGGTGAGGTGGGCTCTGCACCCATGAAGGTGGGGGACTCACAACTGCAGTGCAGGCCTGTGTGTGCACCCCGAGTGGTTTCCCTGGCCTCTTGGCCAGTCCCTCACCTGGTGGTCAGCACAGGCCTTTTGGCCTATGGGGTGGAGTCATGTGGGTGGACCAGCCATGTGCCCAAGGTTGGCATGTGAACCATGTGTGTGTCCATTGTGGACTGCAGGGGTGTGGCCAGGCTAAGGACTAGTTTGCCTAGTGAGTTCCCCACTTCTGGGGTTCCTTCCAACTATATGGATCTGAACAATTCCACTTTCAGCCCCAGGTCACCACATCTGCTATATGTGTGTGCGTGGGAGGCGGATCGGGGGGTGGCTAGGTGGTTGGCTGTCTTTGGGGCCTGATGGGGCCATTCTGCAAAGGTCTGTCTTGGAGCTGTTGATTTTGTCTAGCTGCTCAGCCCAGAGCTAGGGCAAGGTGGCATCTTGCTGCCTGGTGAAGTCCTCTGCCTGCCTGTGTCTCAGGATGCTGAGGGTGCTGGGGTGGCAGGCAGGCCTGTCTGCCTCTGTGCCCTGCACTGCTGGGGGCACAGAGAAGAGAGGGCTCATGCTCCTGAGTGCCCCTGCCTGCCAGCCCTTGTCTGCTCCTGCCCTGCAAGCAGGCTGTGTCCAGCAGGTCCCTTCGAGGCAAGGCTGGTGGCATCAGCCCCGTCCAGTTACTGGAAGGCAGGTGGGCCCACGCCTGGCTGGCCTGTATGCCTCAGTGGTCCACTTGCAATAGCCACAGTACAGGCAGGCAGGTCACAAGGGCCAGGGTACCATTGCTCTGGCTGTGTGGGTGGGTACAGGGCTAGGGTAGCAGGGAAGGAAGGCAGATGTATTTCCAGCTCAGCTCTCCATCTTGCCCCTGAGTAGTCTGGCCACTTCACCTGGCTTTGTCTGGCAGAGGGAGTATTGTGGTTATGGGGACAGTGTCTCCCCTAGAGCTGGCAAGTTAAGGAGTTAGAGGCTCCTTTCTGGACATTGCTGCACAAGATTGCAACTGTCCTTGCTGCCACTATATTATTTGGGGGTTCAGCAAGCTCCTGCCTCCTCCTGGGGCAACACCTGGGTGAGGGTCTGGCCTCAGGAGGAGGTGGGACCAAGTGTTCCTGCAAGGAGGGGAGCTTCAACCTTATTTCTGGTGACTCTGGACTACTCAGCACTTTCCCAGAGACAAGGAACCCCTGCAACCAGTCTTCTACCCCCACCCCCCCCATGTCCCCTATCCTACCTCCGTGCCTGGCTGGGGTGTTATTAGCACTAATGTCACATAGTCAGAAATGCCTCCTGAAAGGCATTTAATATTGTCACAGAAAAGAAGTTAGATTATATTCAATTTCTGACATTAATGTGCTACTTAAGATAATTCATCATTGTGGTATTAAAGAAGACATCCCTTTCTTGGTGGGTGCTGAGCAGTGCCCCTCCCCCCTCACCAGCCTGGGCTACCTTTGTGGAGCTTGAAGCGTTTTTTTTGTTTTGTTTTGTTTTTTTAATGCAAAATGTGTTTTTCCCCTCCCGGGCAGATAGTTATTCAGCTGGGCTTTGTGATATCTGCACATTTGGGGGGAGACTTGATGCACTTGTCTTGTGGAAGACCCTATCATTTCCCCAGAGGTAATAAAGGGTTTTCTGGATGCAGACAATGAATGTGGGCAGTGGGGGGCAGGCTGGACGTCGGTGTCCCTGCTCTGTCCCCTCCCTGCCTGGCTGCAGGTCAATTTGGGATTAGTGTCTGTGCTTGAGGAGATGTTGAGAGCCAAACTGTAGCTTCTTCAGGCCTCTCCTCCCCACTGGGAATTCTCTCACATCTTCAGAACCCATTTGGCTCCTGAAGTGGGGAGTAGTTCACGCTGGAAAAAAATTGCCAAAATTACCAGGAAGCGTACATTTTTGTCTGCTTTGCAGCTGCGCTTGGAAATGAAATAGTTTTTTTCGTGTCGGGGAATAAAAGAATCGATTCTCTCGCCTGATGGAGCGCAGGTTCTGAGTAGTACAATAGCCAAGGGTTTCCTTGGGCCTCCCCAGAGGATGGGACACTCAGGCTCCACTCAGGAGCTCTCCGTGCTAAACCAATTTTGCAGTGTTATGTACCTGTCACTTACAATTAAACCCTTGAAAAATATTGGCTCTGAAATGATTCTTGGGTAATTTGACTTACACCAATGTGGAAGAAGTCAGAGATTTCATTGGAGAGGGACTGTGGCATCCTCCAGTGAAAGTACAGCCGGTGCCTGGCTCCGAGGAGCCCTAACTCAGATTGGCTCTGGAGGTGTACCTCTCTGGGTTATCTCTCCACGCAGGTCTCAAGTTGTTTGCAGTACAGCTCGCTCTGGACTCTGGCATCATGTCGCCCTGTCCCATACTCTCTGAGGGGCTGGTGGTTTGTGCACAGTGCACATTTGGGGATCTGTTCTGTACTTTGAAGACATGCCATCCATGCTGCCATAGCCCAGGCTGACTGGTCACCTGCTAGACTTTGGGAGCTCAGGGCTACCCTCACCCTACCCTACCTCTCTGTTCCCTCTGCCCACCCCCCCCCGCCATCAGCTTCAGTTTTCCCCAAGCCACATTGGACATCTTTTCTTGGATAGGATTTGTTCCGATGGGATTTCTCTGTTTTTCTGCTGGCCCCAGTCCTGCCATGCCACAGGGCGCTGTGACTTTGGTTTCCTGAGCCAACTTGGGTTAGAAGCAGCAAGCTGCAGGGATTTCTCCCCGGGGTCTCCAGGCCCTCTGAGGTCCTTTGCCCTCTGCGCATTTGTTCACTTGTTCATCCACAGATGCACCTGCTTTCTCCCTGAGCTGCCCTTGGGCCTGAAGGACTTTGGCCTGGGGCTGGTAATACTTGGGGATGAGAGATGTCTGGGGATGCAAGGATGTGCTCCTTCTTGTTTTAGTAGAGAGAACTGCTTTGCAGGACCTGAACAGACCTGTGCTCACCAGGTGTCTGGAGCCTCCTGCCCATTAGTTATCTGCCTCCCCTGCCCCTGCACTGCTGCCTGGCCATGTACCCAGGAGCGTCACACCGCCCTCAGCTTCATTTTCTCCCTGCCCCGCTGACCTCATACAGGATCTGCTCCGTCCGCATTCCTGTGGCATCGGGTGCCTGTGCTGAGGCCTGATCCGTTGTCCTGACTTGCGCATGGCTCCTCCTGTCCTATAATTAGCGGCCAGCTGGGTGGTGGGTGGTGCTCAGATGCCTGCTTCTGCCTGTCCCCCCACCCCCACCCAGGTGAAGGTCATGCTCCGCATCTGGCCGGCACAGGGGGCCCAGCGCTCAGCCGAGTCTGCATCCTTCCTGAAGGTGGACCCTCGGAAGAAGCAGGTGACCCTCTACGACCCGGCTGCTGGGCCTCCTGGCAGTGCAGGGCTACGGCATGCTGCCACTGCGGCTGTCCCCAAGATGTTTGCCTTTGATGCTGTTTTCCCCCAAGACTCAGAGCAGGTACGGTTGGTGGAGTGCCTGGGGTTTGGGGCTGCTGCCAGGATGATGGGGTCAGGTCTGGGCTCTGCTTAGTGAGGAGAGAGAAAGGGCCCAGCTGCCCGCTATGTTTGCTGAGGTTTCCCTCCTGTGGATCCTCCTGTGGGCAGGAGCCTTGGTTGTTTCCCCAGCTCCTGCCCGCATCTTCAGGCCAAGTGTCTGGGGAATGCTGGGAATTTTGGAACCCACAATTCTCAGAAGCTTGTTTATCTGGATGCTGTGCTGTGTGTGCACTGTGCTCACCGAGCATAGCTATGTGTGTCCTGGGCGTGTGTCCGTGCTGGCAATAGCACCTTTGTGCTCTGTGGGGTCTGCAGCGTGTCTGGACAGTGCAAGTTGAGTGTGCTGTGTGTCTCCGTGTGCCATTCGTGTGTGTCCTGTGCCTCCTCTGTGCATATAGCAGAGCTCTGAATCCTTGGCCCTGTATCTGCCAGCTCAGCCGTCCTGTGGGTTGGACGTCTATGTGACAAGGACAGACAGACAAGTCTCTAGTTCACATACGTGGTGGAAGGTAGTGGCCATGGCCCCTTGGTTTTGGCACCTGCCTGACCCCGGGGTCTCTATGCAGGCTGAGGTCTGCTCGGGCACCGTGGCCGATGTGCTGCAGTGTGTCGTTGGCGGGGCCGATGGCTGCATTTTTTCCTTTGGCCACACGAGCCTTGGTAAGCACTTCCCTCACCCCTCACACCCTAGATACACTCTGCTGCACCCCCCTCCATGTTTGGCGATGCCATCGCTGAGTCTGGCCCTGGGTGGGTAAGGAGGACAGTTCTCCACGTGGGTGTTTGAGGTGGGAGGTCTTTTGGGGAGATTGAAGTCTGCAGAGCTGAAGGGCAGAGGCCCTGGAATGAATGGAGGGAGGCCCCTGAGTTCTAAGTGGCCCCAGGTTGGCCCTGAGGACCCTGGGCATTGCCTGGGAGATGATTTCAAGTGTGACCAGGCTCCGAGGGCTTCTCATGGGAAGCAGGTGTGGCCCTCATGTTCCTGTGTGTCACCCCAGGCAAGTCATACACCATGATTGGGAAGGACAGCTCACCCCAGAGCCTGGGAGTCGTGCCCTGTGCCATCTCCTGGCTCTTCAGGCTCGTTGACGAACGCAAGGAAAGGACTGGCACACGCTTCTCCATCCGAGTCTCGGCCGTGGAGGTGTGCGGCCAGGACCAGAACCTGCGGGACCTGCTGGCTGAGGTGGCCTCTGGCAGCCTCCAGGACACTCAGTCTCCAGGCGTGTACCTGAGAGAGGACCCCGTGTGTGGGGCACAGGTACACCAACACCGTGATCGAGCCACAGGGTGGCGGTGGGGATTTGCACTCTTGGCCCTACGCCTCTAAGGGAGCTGTCACCTTCGCCTCTCCCACAGCTCCAGAACCAGAGCGAGCTGCGGGCACCCACCGCAGAGAAGGCGGCTTTGTACCTTGACGCAGCCCTGGCTGCCCGCAGCACCAGCCGTGCCGGTTGTGGGGAGGACACCCGGCACAACTCCCACATGCTCTTCACGCTGCATGTCTACCAGTACCGCGTGGAGAAGTGTGGCCAGGGAGGAAGTAGGTGCATCTGAGATCCACCCAGGGATCTTTCTGTGCCCAGAGGCATCCCCCAAGGGCTCCTGCCTACCTGGGGTGGGGCTGTGGAGCAGGGCACCTGGACTGGCTCAGCACCTGCCTGCACTGTGGTTTCAGTGTCTGGAGGCCGGAGCCGCCTGCACTTGATTGACCTGGGCAGCTGTGAGGCGACGCCCAGCAGGGGCACGGAGGCTGCTGGAGGACCCCTGTGTCTGTCCCTGTCAGCCCTGGGCAGCGTTATCTTGGCCCTGGTCAATGGGGCCAAGCACGTGCCCTATAGGTGAGTGTGGGCCCGTGGGCAAGCACCAGCCAGGGTGGCCACTGGGGAACTGGCCACATTTATGTCCAGTGCTTCTGGGGGCCTCAGTGCGTGGCCAGAGGACGGGGCAGAGGTGAATACTAGGGAAGTCCTGAGGCTCCAGGAAAAGCCCCAGTCCAGGGAGAAGCTGTCCTACCCCACCCCCAGCCTCCCACTCTCACAGCCTCCCCTCGGCTCCCAGGGACCACAGACTCACAATGCTGCTGCAGGAGTCTCTGGCTGCCACCAGCTGTCGTACCACCATGATTGCCCATGTCTCAGACGCGCCGGCCCACCATGCTGAGACACTTAGCACCGTGCAGCTTGCTGCCCGTATCCAGCGCCTACGCAAGAAGAAGGCCAAGGTGGGCTCCAGCTCCTGATGCCCAACCGTGGGCCCCCAGGCCTCCGGGTCCTCTGCAGGCCTATAAGGCATGTGGGGGAGGGGATGATAGGTGGGCCTGGGATAGGGGACCCAGCCTCCAGTGGGTCTCCTGTATGTCCCTGAGTCATGGGGCTGTAGCCTCATGACCCTGCCTATAGGGAAAAGGGAGCCAAGCCCCAAATCCCTGAGGCATCGGGCAGGGGGATAGCTGCTTGCAGTGGGGTGTGAGGTTGCCTGGCTCTAGCACCAGGGCCTGGAGCACATGGGACATGGGCACCATCCCTGAGGGGACTTCTAGGCACATTTCACTTGGGCACAAGGGTGGGCTTTGGAGTGTTCTGGGGCCAGACCCCATCATGGTTCTGAATGCTAGGTTTTCCCTGGGGGCTGTAACTGTGGGGATAGCTATCACCTGTCTGAGTTTCTTCCTCCGTGTGACACCATCAGTGATGTTTGCTGCCAGGAAACTATACTTGCGTTCTGTGCCTACGACTTGTGGGGCAGTACCCAGCACTGGGCAGGCTTTGCTTAGTGACCTTAGTGACCACACCATCATTTTTGTCACTTGAGCACAGTATTGTACTGTTGAGGCAGGGCAGGGAAAAGGAGGTGAAATGAGAGTGGGGGCCAGGTGCAGGCCAAGGTGGGTCCATTCATGCGGTCTGCCTTGCTGTCCCCAGTATGCATCCAGTTCCTCGGGTGGGGAGAGCTCCTGTGAGGAAGGCCGAGCCCGCCGCCCCCCACACCTGCGGCCCTTCCACCCACGTACCATGGCCCCGGACCGCGACCGCCCAGCTCCTAGTTTGCCTGGTGACCCTGACTACTCATCCAGCAGTGAGCAGTCCTGTGATACGGTCATCTACGTGGGACCTGGAGGGGCAGCACTGTCAGACCGGGATCTCACTGATAATGAGGGTCCACCTGACTTTGTGCCCATCATTCCTGCCCTGAGCCGCCGCCGGCCCTCTGAGGGCCCACGGGATGCCGACCATTTTCGTTGTAGCACCTTTGCAGAGCTGCAGGAGCGACTGGAGTGCATCGATGGCAGTGAGGGACCCCTGGGACTCCTGGGTGACTCTGATGCAGCTCAGGCCAGCCCCGCTAGAGGGGGCAGGAAGCCCTCGCCACCTGAGTCTGTATCCCCCAGGAAGGCTGTGGGCCCCCCAGTGGCCACTAGCACCCCTCGAGGCAGCTCTGGACCAGACATCCACCAGGGTGCCCCTGATCCCTCCAAAATCAGCGCCCAGGTTGACCAGAGAGCAGACAGTAGCACCCGGCCTCAGCTGCCCATCCTGGACAAGGCCACAGGTGGTGGAGGCAGAAGGCCACTGCCTAGCCCGGCCCCTCCACCACCTCGGCAGTTGGAAGCTAGAGGAGCCCCTGTGGAGCCTGGGGGAGGGGGAACTGACAGTGTGGTGCGGACGCCGCCAGTGGGCATGAGTGGACAGGTGGGCCGGCCCCCGCTGCTTTCAGATGCAGCCTGCCCCTGCCCATCTGCTAGTGGCCGCTGTCTGGAACGGGGCCTGCTGACCACCACAGTGACCTTGCAGCAGCCTGTGGAGCTGAATGGCGAGGACGAGCTGGTGTTCACAGTGGTGGAGGAGCTGCCCCTGGGGGGGCTCGCAGGGGCCACACGGCCCTCCAGCCTGACCAGCTTTGGTAGTGACTGCTCCCTGCAGGCCCTGGCTTCTGGCTCACGACCAGTCAGCATCATCAGCAGCATCAATGACGAGTTTGATGCCTACACCTCCCAGGTCCCCGAGGGCCCATGTGGCCCTGGGGAGCCCCTGGATGGGGCAGCCTGGGCTGGTGGCAGTCCTGGCTCATCCATCGGCTCCTGGCTCAGCAAGGTCAGCGTCTGTACAGCCGTTAGCCATAGTCCTGAGCCACAGATTCCCTTCAGCCCTGATTCTACAGCAGGGCCTGGCCCCCCAGAGCCTCCTGCCCAGGGAAGCTCTCTGGAGGATAGCAACCTCAGGTCATGGGAGCATGGTCGGCCTGACAGTCCTGGCCCAACTGGGAGGCCTCATTCCAGGGAAGCATCTGCAGCAACCCTGACCCGACCTGGCATGGAGCCCTGGGTGGGGTCCCTGCAGGGAGCAGCTGTAGCCCAGACCATCCACTCTAGCCTGCCCCGGAAATCCAGGACTACAACAGCCAGCCGCCCAGGCTGTGCTCGCTTGGGCCGGGGTCCACTTAGCCCCGGAGGCCCTTGCGAGGACCCCTGGCTGCTCCGGGTAGATGATGGTGACATGCTGCCAGTAGCCTCTGCTAGCAGTGCTCCCAGTCCGACTCCAGGCTCCCCCCGGCTGCCTGAGGTACAGGCAATGCTGGCCTGTGCCCAGAGGGTGGTGGATGGATGTGAGGTGGCAGCCAGGGTGGCCCGCAGGCCAGAGGCTGTGGCTCGGATTCCACCATTGAGGAGGGGTGCCACCACACTGGGGGTAACCACAATTACTGCATCTGGTGGGGACACTTTGGCTGAAGCAGTGATTTGCTCAGGCAGCTTGAAGGCCTCCCTTAGCAGCAAGAAGAGTGTGGCTCCCAAGGGGGGCTTTTTCCCAAGGCCCAGTGGGGCAGCCCCTCCAGCTCCACCTGTGCGCAAGTCCAGTCTAGAGCAGAGCAGCCCGGCCCTGGCCCCCTCCCAGGCCTTGGGCCCGACCCGGGCTGGGACTGCTGCTGTTTTCCGAGGCGAGGAAGAAGTCAGGCCCAGTGGCCGGGCTGACCACTCTGTTCCCAAGGCCACATCCAGCTTGAAGGTCCGAGCTGGCAAGATGGAGGTGGCACCCCGCCCCACTGGCCACACGTCCCTGGAGCGGTACGAGGGGCTGGCACACAGCAGCAAGAGCAGGGAAGGCCCCCGGCCACCCCGGGCTGTGCCCAGATTGGGTGTGCCACCTGCCAGTCCCACACCTGGGCCCACCCCTGCCTGTAGGAGCAGCCCAGCTAAGGGTATGGGGGCTCCCAAGCCTCCAGCTGGTGGGGCCAAGGGCCGTAGCCTAGTGGCTGGTGGGACTCGGGCTCTGGGTGCTTCAGTAAAGCCACTGGCCCCTGTGTCAGGTAGGACTCCTGGTGGCCCTGTGTCAGGTCCCCGGTCAGCCCCACGGGCTGTGTCTGGTGCTGGGGCCAAGACTGGCCGGGGCACCATTATGGGCACCAAGCAGGCACTCCGGGCTGCCCATAGCCGCGTCCATGAGCTGGCGGCCAGTGGGGCTTCTGGCAGAAGTGTCCCCTCGTGGGGCTCGGCTGACTCAGACAGTGGCAATGACAGCGGCGTGAACGTGGCTGAGGAGCAGCTGCCCGCGGGCCCCTCCCTGCCCTCCCCCTACAGCAAGGTGACGGCCCCAAGGCGGCCCCAACGCTACAGCAGTGGCCACGGCAGTGATAATAGCAGTGTGCTGAGTGGGGAACTCCCGCCTGCCATGGGCCGCACCGCGCTCTTCTATCACAGTGGCGGGAGCAGTGGCTATGAGAGCATGATGCGGGACAGTGAGGCTACCGGCAGTGCATCCTCGGCTCCTGACTCCATGAGCGAGAGTGGGGCCGCCTCCCCAGGCGCCCGCTCACGCAGCCTCAAGTCCCCCAAGAAGAGGGCCACAGGTAGGTGCTGGTGCTGACTCTCTAAAGTCTGAGGAGCTAGGAGATGCTTGACAGGTGCGCTCTGCCACCCCAGGCTGCTGTGGACTCTGACTTTCCCTGCAACTGGGTCAAATTCAGCCCATACCTGGGACTAGTGTCCAGCCTCTCGGGTACCTCTTCTGTGACTCCAGGTGTGGCCCCTCCACCATGGCACATCACACCCTGTGAGGTCCCTGGCACAATCTTTGTGGATGCCAGGTGTGCATAGCCCTGATGGTTTATGAGCATGCCTAGGGTTTTTCAGTGGACAGAGGGGTATGGCCCGCTAGTTTACAAATCTGCAGGGTTTCACAGATCCCAGATGCATATACTGTCCTCTGACAGTTTATAAATACATGGGGCTGTTTAGAGTGTAGATGTGCACAATCCTGTATAGTTTATAATTACACCCAGTGCATACCCTTCTCTCGTCTTCATGCTGCCCCAGAGGGTGGTCCCAGGTAGAGCCACAGGACATCCAGCTAGGGCCCTGGGAAGCTGGGCAAGGACTTGGATTTTGAGCTAGGCATTGGACTCTAGGCAGGGTTCTCACTGATGAGTGTCCCACCTGCCTGGTAGCCCTTACTGGTGCTGCTCTGGGGGACAGCAGTGTGGACCTCTCCCTATTTGGGGACAGTGGGGTAAGGAGGGTGTGAATTGAAGAGTAGTGTGAGCAGTTACAGTGTCGGAGGGTTGCCTCTGTCTGGGCAGTTGGCATGGCTGTCCACTGGCTGGGACTGGGGTGGGTTCTGGGCTCTGCTCACCCAGTACCCCATTCTCATTCCAGGTCTGCAGCGGCGACGACTAATACCAGCCCCACTGCCTGATGCTACTGCACTGGGCCGAAAGCCCAGCCTCCCTGGACAGTGGGTGGACCTGCCTCCACCTCTAGCCGGCTCTCTGAAGGAGCCCTTTGAGATCAAGGTGTATGAAATCGATGACGTGGAGCGCCTACAGCGGCACCGCCTGCCTCTGCGGGAGGACCCGGACCAGATCAGGGTCTGTGGTGGGCTGGGCTGGGCTGGAGGCTGTGAGCCCTGGGGTGGCAGAGAGGGCTCTTCAGGCTCCTGGGGGTGTGGCCAGGCAACCCTCAGACCTTACCTTCTCTTTTCTACAGCCCTCCCAGGATCTGGAGAAGGTAGGTGGCCCCTGATAGCCTCTGGGGAGGAGGGCGGCTAGAGGGGATCTTGAGACCACCACCATTGTCTCTGCTGAGTTGGGCCCAAGATCTAGGAGCTCCTGGCGTCTTTTCACCTTGTAGGCACCACCATGTACGCATACGCACAGGCCTAGAGGGTTGGGGGAGGCCCTTCGCCACTGGGGTGCTGTGAGTCCCCGGGGAGAGAGCCCCTAGCCCACTAGTGGGTGCCCTTGCCCTCCATGTCTGAGCCCACCCTCTTTTGTCCCCTGCTATTAGGCCCTGGTATGTGTCAACTCCAAGGTGCGGCTGGCCGAGCGCAGGCAGCAGCGGCTGCGGGAAGTGCAGGCCAAACGTGACCACCTCTGTGAGGAGCTAGCTGAGACCCAGGGCCGTCTGATGGTGGAGCCTGGCCGCTGGCTGGATCAGTGTGAGTGCCCCATGCCCGCCACTGCTGGAGCAGTGGGACCCCCAGACACCAGCATGAGCGTGACCCCAGACCCTAGGTCCTGCCCTGGCTCCCCATTTGCTGTGCTGTGTGTCCCCACCCCCTCCCACCTTTGCCATCCAGCTGCAGTCATGCAACAGGTGTTGTGAAGGAAGGCTCTGAGAGGCCTAGATGCCTATCCTGGGGATCCAGGGAGCCTGGCCTCTGTCTTAACCCTGTCCTGCCTCTCCTCAGTCGAGGTGGACCCAGAGCTGGAGCCTGAGTCTGCTGAGTACCTGGTGGCCCTGGAGAGAGCCACAGCTGCCTTGGAGCAGTGCGTGAACCTGTGCAAGGCCCACGTCATGATGGTCACCTGCTTCGATATTGGTGTTGCCGCCACTGCTGCTGTACCGGGGCCACAAGAGGTGGATGTTTGAGGCAGGGCACTGACTGAGCACGGGAGGGAATGTGCAGGGGTGTGAGGTGGGGATGTGGGAGAGAGCGAGGATGTGGTGGATCTTAGAGGGATGAAGATGCAGAGGGTGGGGGGTTCTGTGAGGACCAGGGGTTTCAGAGGAGATGGAGCATGGGGAGGGGAGGGCCGGCTGGCCATAGACGGAACAAGTGAGTGCACGGAGACCGGAAGACTGTCGCCACCCAGACAGCCATGCAAGTGCCTTTAACCTTGAGTTGTTGGACTTTCTTCTTTTCGCATTTGGTGCTACAGACTCAAGACACCAGCAGACGTGTGATTGGACCCATGGCTCAGGCGGCTGTGACCGCTCTGGCCGGGGCTGGAGCCAGGTGTTTGTATCCCATCTTGCCTTCCTTGCAACTAAGCAGTTTTGTGTAGCAGGACAGCCCTGCGCTCACCGGCTTTAAGGATCAGGATTGCTTTTCCTTTCTAGTGGTTTCCTCTTGGCAGATCTGGCATTAGCGGTCTGCAGCAGCTGGGTCTTCTCAGTGGGGATAGCTGACCTCAGTCCTCTCCCTTCCCTGAGGACCCTGCTCTGTTCCGAGGACACCAAGGGCTTTGAGTGAGGCCTGAGCCAGGGCACACAATGCCTTCTTCCACGGCAGGAATTCTTACCAAAACCACAAGCAAAAAACACAACAAAACAAACCCCACCAACAAAGATGAGGTGTGGCTTTTGTAAAAGTTCTGTTAGTTAGGTTCCTATTTTTGTATCATTTTGCCTATAAACATGGGATTTGCAGTGGGAATTTGAAGACAAATGATCTACATTTTTATGGTTTTCTACGGAAGGCGTTCCTGGGGCCGGGCTCTTGGCAGCTGTAGGAGGCAGGCTCTTTCTTGGGGGGCACCCTAGGCAGGGTGGGGATCCTTGGGAGGTGCTTCTTTTCAAATGCAGATGAGGGGTGAGCCTGCTTCCCCACACGATGTGCCCCACACGGCAGGTTCGTGTTTTCTGACCATTGCGCATTTTATAGGGTGTCCAGACCTTTGTACAAATGTATAGATAACATCTTGCTACAGTTTTTATTTGTGAATAAAAGATGCATTGATTGTTCAAATGGCTCTGAATTCACTGGGTGCCCCTGCTGTGCAACTTTCTGAGGATTTCTGGGTTGGGAAGGTGGGGCAGCAAAACATTGGAGGGGTACAGGCTTCAGGTTGCTGTGCCAGCGCCTGTAGGGGCCACCATGCAGGGTGGTATTCGGACCTTCATTTCCTCACGCCAGGCCCCCTGCCCTGATCATGAGATCTCAAGGCTGTTTGGGGAGCCAGGCTTGCCAGCTGGGCTAGTTGGGAAACAGCCTTTTTTGTGCTGGCATCCCACTGGGTTTTGTTATCTGGGGAAGTAAAGGCAGGTGACAGTAGCCCTTAGGAGGGCCTTGGTTTCGGTCCTTTGTCCCCTGCCTGCTTTTCTGTTCAGTTCCTCCCACAAGGTCGCTTGCCGGGCTCCCCAGAACCCTGTGATCCAGTGCCCTTTGAGCTCCCTGAGTTTCTGCCTCCCGTGACATAGGCCTCCTTGGCCATGGCTTGGGCTGCCTTCTGGTCTCATACTCAGTGTGTCCCCTGGCTGAATCAGTTTGCTTCCCCACCCCCAGCCCCACCCCCACCCAAAACCTATTTATTTGTCTCCATCTCAGTGTCCCCTTATAGGCCTGTGAAGGCTATATCTGGACTCCCACCTCATCCAGCAACTTCTTGCTGGCCTCAGACTGCTCTGCTTGTTACTTAAGCCTTGGTCCTGGCCCTAGCGACCCCCTACATGCTGTACCCCACCTTATGGGCTCTGGTGCATGTACCTCACATATCCCGGTCCCTCCTAGCATCTGAGTCTTTGCAGCCCCCATGCCTGGGACCCCTCCTCCAGGGCCTGCTCAGCTAGGTGCCCCTTCCTTGGCTCCAGGCAGTGAATGTGGGGGCCCCTCCTTGGTGGCCCTGCTGTCTGGGCCCCCTCCACTGTGCATGTCACACCTTGTGTGGTCTCTGCATATCTCAGTCTCAGTGGGGCCCTTGGGTGGGGTAGAGTCTGACTCATCGTCACATCCACACATGGCACAAGGCTGGGCCCCTCTGGGCCCTGGTGCGGAGGGGGGGCACTAGCTGAAGAAAGTGAATGAATGAACAAAGGAATGACAGAGTCTTCTACAGAGGGCTCTGGCTGGGGAGAGGCAGACTGCACTCAGCAGTTTGCAGAATGCCTCCTGCTTAGACCCTTGCTGATAGCCCAAAGACAGCCTGTCCTCCATGTGGCTGCCCATGCAAGGAAGGCCGTCCACACTATTGCAGCAGCAAATGGGCCCCCAGTTCCTTGGGGTGGGGTCACATGCCTGTGGGAAGGTGGGGACTCCAACCCCAGGACTCCTCTGCTGCTCTGAGGCCAGATGTGTCTCTAACAGTGCAGACATCTGGGAATGGCCAGGTTATTTTTAACCAGCCAAGTGTTAATCCAAGTTGCTGTGGGCTTAGCTGGGGGTGGGGAGGTGGGGGTTCAGGCAGGATATGGTGGAGAGAGGTGAGAGGTGAGACAAGCCCACCCGTCCATGGTTTTATGGACTGGCTCCCATGCTGACTTGTGCAGAGGTGCTGTTCTCAAAAACAGGGCAGTGCTGGGTCCAGGCGGGGGCACTTAGGGCTTGGGGAAACCTGCCAGGGAGCCCCTGGTCTGCATTTAGGTTCTGGGCTCTGGCTCCCAGCATGTACTGTCCTGTGCCACCTGGGCTATGTGGGCTATGTGCTCGTCACATCCCTTCCTTCTACAGAGGACTCATCAGCTGCCTCCTTATCCGTCTGTCACAGGAGGGGTACTGGGCCTGTCAGATTTTTGGCATAATCTCTGGCCCTGATTCTCACTGCCTGTCCTGGCTGGGGGTCTCCTACGGGCCAGGCCCAGGCTGAGGATGGCCGGCACAGGGGACTGGCCATATGGAGTCCACCTCCCACAGTCCAGGCCAGGCCTGGGGAAGATAATGCCTGCTTTTCTGGACAAGGAGCCTACTATCCTAGGGCTGACCTGGGAGCCTTGGGTGGCCTTTCATCTGGGACATCAAAGCCCTCAGCCCTGTCATTATAGGCTGGGAACCCTGTGGGGAGCAGCACAAGTTCCAGTATGCCCATTTTATGGATGGGAAAGCTGCAGCCGCCCAGAACCCAGCTCTTTGACTGAAGCCAAAGTCAGGGTGGCCCATCTAATGTCATCTGCAAGGAGTCTGTGTGCCTCCTGCTTATTGAACTTGTGGGGAAGCTGAGGCTCAGGGAGAGCAGAGGTTGCCTAAGCCCTCTTTCCATGTTCTTTCTCCTTGGAGGTGAGGTGGTTCAGGAGCTTGCAGGGCAAGAGGGGAACTTTCCTAAGGACTATCAGGCTCTGGCAAGCTTGGAGTCGGAGTGGGGGCTTCTGGGCAGCCAGCTGTTAAGGGTAAATGGTCAGAAGGAGGATGGACAGGCCAGGCCAGGGACCTGGGGCCAAGGGGCATGGGGTGCCTGCCTGGGCTGAGTGGAGTTACAGGCTTGATGCAGCTCATGCTCCAGCTCTCACGGCCTCGGAGGCCAACCTGGCACCTGGCCACCTGCTCCCCTGGGGTGAGGTGCCCGCCTGACTCATCCAGCGAGTTGAGGCCTGTTCTGCTCGCCCTGCCCACCTCAGCCCTGGTGCTGGAGGCCATGTGGGGAGGAGGGGGCAGGGGCTCTCAGGAGCTGGGAAAAGGCCAGAGCTGGGCTGGGGGGTGGGCAGGCAGGATGGGAGCTGAGTTGCAGGGCTGGGGCCCTTGGAGCTGCCCTACCCTGCTTGGTCCCAGAGTGAGGAGAGAGAACTGTGGGTGTCAGGCCAGGCCTGTAGCCCTCAGAAGGCCACTGCCAGATGTGGGGCTTCCCTTCTCCAAGGATGGGCAGCAGCAGGAGGAGGAGCCAGGGCCCTGCACTCCACATGCAGAGTCTTCACATGGAGCAGAGGGGCACGGACGCTCCAGTGGGGATTTTGGGTGCCAGGGGAGCAGCGTGAAATTTTGAGAACCAGTGCTTGGCTTTCAGTTATTCCCTGTAAACCTCTCTGTGGGTATGATCATGATGGCTGTGGGGAGGGGACACAGGGGTTTTGTGGTGACAATGGGGATGGTGGTGGGTGCTAGTGACAGTGAGGATGGCCATAGGGTCAGTGGACCTTGCCGGGTAGTGTGCTGCCTCCTGCAACCCAGTCCATGGTGCATTGCAGTTCTTTTTCCATCTGTTTGGTCCCTTATTTCTCTGGGATTTCAGTCTCCCTGAGGCCAGCTAGGAGCCTGTCCTCCTTCTGACCTGTTTGTCCCTGGGAAATGTGGTAAAGTCACATCAGCAGCCTCCATGGGGCTCCCTCTGGGTCCTGAGGCTCTGTGATTAAGGGGGCAAGGGGACTGGGGAGTCCAGATAAGGGCCCTAAAAGATGTCCTTTTACAATCAGCTTCATTTTATGTTTAAGAGAAATTCTGAAGATGGGACAGAGCCTGCTGCACCCTTTACTGTTTTCCTAATAATATATGTCTCATTATCCCAGATGCCCTCTTGGAGTCTAGGCAGGGAGGGCAGGCTTTGCCAGACTTGACTTTTCTCTAAGCCTTAGTTTCCCCCTCTATCAATGTCACAGTTTACCTTCTTGTTCATGATGGATGCTAGTCCTCACCTGGGTCTCCCTCAATACCAACCCTGACTGCCTTGGGAGAATGGTGTGGTCTGGGCTCTCTGGAAGTGGTTCCAGCCTTGGAGGCCCCACCCCATGGTCCTGGGGCCCTGCCCAGGAGTCCTTTGCAGCCCTTGGTCGGGAGGGTACATCTTGGGTTGGAGACTCCTCTGCTGCTCCTCTCCTGGGACAGGAGCCAGGGTGGGCCCTGGGATCTGCTCCCAGCAAACAGGAAACCTGGAGGGAGAGTTCTCCCTCCTTATATTGTGTTCAGCAAGGCGGGGATCCAGATCCCGTTTCCACACAGGAAGCCCTGG